CTGGTCAGCGCCGCAGGTGTGGGTGGAGGCTGCCGACGGCTAAACGCCACGATGTGATCCTTCTTGAGCTGGTCCGCGCGCAGGAGGGCCTTCAGGTCCTGGATGTCCTCCTCGGGGAAGTCCGCGTGCAGGTGACGCGCCAGCGGCGGCTGGGCTTCGCGGTCGATCACATCGACGCGCACGCCGTAGGACGTCCGGTAGCGGGCCCCGCAGCGGCAGCACCAACGCTGACCGCTGCGGCCTGCCGCCTCCTCCTCTACGGTCAAGAGCTGCGTCCGGTGATCCGCGCGGATGACGGCCATGCGGGGTGCCAACATGGGTGCGGTGGCCGCATGCGAACGCTGGCAACTGGGCCTCGGGTGGAGCTTCCTATAAGGCCACGAAGCGTGTGAGGGGTGTGCCAAAATGGGTGCGGTGGCCGCATGCGAGCGCTGGCAACTGGGCCATCGGTGGGGCTCCATATAGGGCCACGAAACGTATGAGGGGGGTGCCAATCTGGGTGCGGTGGCCGCATGCGAACGCTGGCATCTGGGCCTCCGGTGGAGCTTCTTATAGGGCCACGAACCGTGTGAGGGGTGTGCCAAAATGGGTGCGGTGGCCGCATGGCAAGCGCTGGCATATGGGCCTTCGGTGGAACTGGCCGTGGGGCCTCGAGACGCGTGAGGGATGTGCCAACATGGGTGCGGTGGCCACATGCGTACGCTGACATCTGGGCCTTCGGTGGAGCCTATGGAGCCCCGAAGCGCGTGAGGGGTGTGCCAGAAGGGGTGCAGTGGCCGCATGCGAACGCTGGCACCTCGGCCTTCGGCAGAGGTCCCATGTAGGGCCGCGAGACGCGTGAGGTGTGCGTGTGTGTGTGTGTGTGTGTGTGTGTGTGTGTGTGTGTGTGTGTGTGTGTGTGTGTGTGTGTGTGTGTTTGTGCCAACATGGGTGCGGTGGCCGCATGCGAACGCTGGCATCTGGGCCTTCGGCGGAGCTCCCTATGGGGCCACGAAGCGTGTGATGGGGTGTGCCACAGTGAAGAAGGGGGCAAGGAGAAGGAGGAGGAGGAGGAGGAGATGGAGGAGGAGGAGAAAGTCGAGGAGGAGGAGGAGGAGGAGGAGGGGCAGGAGGACGAGGATGAAAAGGAGGAAGATGATGCTGATGATGCTGCTGATGATGATGATGAGGAGGAGGAGGAGGAGGAGGAGAAGGAGGAGAAGGAGGAGGAGGAGGAGAAGAGAGGAGACGCGGGGACTGTCTTTTCAACACGAAGACCCATCACCACAAGATGGTTGGGGAAAAAAGGAAGGGGGAAAAGAAGAGAGGGAGGGAGGGAGGGAGGGATTGAGAGGAAGGGAGGGAACAAAAGAGATATAGCGACAAACACATACGGTAATGAGGTGAGGATCATGCGGAGGAGGATGGGGTGGAAAAGGAGAGCAGAGGAGACGGAACAGGACAGTGGGGATGATACCGTGGGAGAGGAGGGGGAGGTGGTGGAGGGGGAGGAGGAGGAAATCGTAGGACTTTGTCAAACCCCTGTCAAGATCGCCGCCCAGCCTATACGCGGAGGATCGGGAGGGAGGAAGAGGAAGAGGATGCGAGGCGAGGAACAGAAAGGGGAAAGGGAGACGAGAAGAAAACGGAGACAGGACGGCAGACGATGGGGAGAGAAAAAGCACGCGGATACTGAGGATGAGGGCGAGGAGGAACGGGAGGACAGGAAAGGGGAGAGGATGGAAGAGGAAGGAGGACAGGGACGGGAAGGAGAAGGGAGCGAGACATCGAGGGAGGGGGAGGGATAGAGCGTGGGAGGAAAAGAGAGGGGGAGACGGACGGGGAGGCGAAGAGGAGGACGGAGAGGCAGATAGAGACCTCCGTGGCATCCACAGGTGGTCTGAAAAACCACAACGTCATAGGAACGATTTGCCATCGCTATGCTCGAGCTCCACCCGCACGAAAGAAATTCCAGGCGAAAAACCCAACCACATGCAATTGTGAACAACGCACTTGTGAGTATCGTCTTCGGTTGAGCTCCCTATGGGGCAACGAAACGTGTGAGGAATGTACCGAGATGGGCGCTGTGGGCGCATGCGAACGCGTGTGAAAGGCGTGCCGAAGTGGGTGCGGCGCCGCCATGTGGACCCTGTCACTGGGGCCTTCGGTGGAGCTCTCCATGGGGCCACGAAACGTGTGAGGTGTGCGTGTGTGTGTGTGTGTGTGTATGTGTGTGCCGAAATTGGTGCGGTGGCGCCATGCGAGCGCAGCCACTGGGGCCTTCGGTGACGCTCCCTATGAGGCCACGAAACGTGAGAGAGTGTGCCGACATGGGTGCGGTGGCGCCATGCAAGCGCAGCCATTGGGGCATTCGGTGGAGCTCCGTATGGGGCCACGGCACATGTGAAGCTGTGCCGACATGGGTGCGGAGGCGCCATGCGAGCGCAGCCACTGGAGCCTTCGGTGAAGCTTCCTATGGGGCCTCGAGGCGTGTGAGGGCTGTGCCGAAATTGGTGCGGAG